GTTCCAATATCTCAGGGGCTCCCATAAAGAAGAGGGAGTCAAGCTATTTTCCAAAGCGCCTGAAGGCAGGACAAGAAGCAACGAGTGGAAACTAATCAAGGAGAGAAGCAACCTAGAACTAAGGAGAAACTTCCTGACAGTTAGAACAATTAACCAGTGGAACAACCTGCCTCCAGAAGCAGTGAATGATCCAACACTGGAAGTTTTTAAGAGACTGGACAGCCATTTGTCCGAAATGGTATATAGGATTTCCTGCCTGAGCAGGGGGTTGGACTAGATAACCTCCAAGGTCCCTTCCAACTTTACTATTATTATTAATATTATTATTTACTATATTACATTGCCAACATTTATGAAGATAAACATGTATATCTAATATGTATTCGATTGTAAATTCAATTACCATTTATTTATTGTAATCAGAAAATATAATTACTATAAAGTACTACAAATGTTTCCTGGTCTACATTTCCTTAACTGTAATTAAAAATATTCAATTCATATACAAATTAGCATTTTTACCCTTGCCAACATCCGTTACTGAAATCATGATGAATTCCTTCTCAAGCAGCCACTTCACACAAGTTTCAATAGATCCATCACAAATTTTCTCCTGCTCTCTCCTACAGTCCTGGAAGTCTCTCAAACTAGCTGCAAGGAGTGTACAGGATGCATAACTCTGGATGTCTTCTGAAGAGCTAGCTACTCCACTTACTATGATCTATCAGAATAAAAGGGTAATAAACATACTTGAAAAAATATAGGTTACTTTTGAAAGTTATCTTTTTAGATCGGTGCACATATCAGGAATAGTTGTGTATAGTACATTTCAAACATCTATACATCTCTGTAACTGTAAATCAATATTCCCTTTAGGATAAACGAACATATAGAAATGTATTGACATTTGATTTTTTTTTGTACCTCTTTAATCTTGAGACTGTTGGGCTATATCTTAACCATGTGTCAGAACCCATATATTATTAAGGGGAACTCTCTGTAATTCTATTTCTTCTATTACACTGAGTTCTGTCATATTCCTAGAGGGGAGGGTGGAAGACGCTGTGGGATCTTTGTTTTCTCTATCACTACAATGTATCCCTTTTGCTGTCTCTGCATACTTGCTCTTTGAACTGTCTCTCCCTTGATGTTACCTTGGGGTGAGAAAGGAATGTGCCTCTGGCTATCTGGCTTATCTCCCATTTCGGAAGGGAAGGTGCAAAGCCCCAACAACATCGCTACGAGCCTGGGAAAGACCGGTGTTATCAGCTCTTTCCCACAATGGACTTAACACCTAAGGATTGGCCCGTTTGAACTGACCAGATGAATTATTGGGGTGGGGTTTGCTGGAGACTCTTTTAACCTATTGATCTGAGCAGGAGACAGATCCTGTCTATTATGCCTATTATCAGCTTCTCCTAATAAAAGTTCCTTTTGGAAGAAACTGCTTCCATGAGTTCTGCTTTCTTAGGATGAGGTATTGAAGTGGGCCCTGACACCATGAATTTATGTTTAAGGCAATTAGAATTCCTACAAATGCATTTAGCAGCTTCATAGAAACAGTGCAAAATCTTGTTAACAAATAATATTTACATTATGAATGTTTCACTCATTCCCGGCATTACATACCTCAAGAATTGCCCGTAACATACTGGAGGTGATTCCTTCTCCCTTGAGGCTAAGCAAACAGCTACCCACTGGCTTCATATCACCATGGAGAAGAGCAATTCCTTTTGATTTTTCAGAGGGTTTACACACCAAAATACTCTCACCTGTTATATACAATGTTGTAAATTAGAAAAAGTTATATTGGTTTAACAGCAGTCCCATGCATAAATAATATTTGACTACCTAGGTCAAATGGTTGCAAGCATATTTATCCAGGACCTGGCCACTGTTATTAAGGAGCAAACCTATATTTGATCACTTATATTCTTTGTTCCCTAACTATAGCATTTTTTTACATGCTGAGCATGCTGTTCAATATTTTAATAAACAGATACATGAAAAACAACAATAAGCTTACTTGGATTTTGGACTGATTTTAGTATATACAGTTATGGCTCAAAATTAGGGTTGAAACCTGGGTATTATAAAATCAGTAAAACTTTTATTATCTGACTATTTTTCTAGTCAAAGCAGGAAGGATCACATGAAAGGACTATCAATAGCAACCAATCCTCTTAAAGACTTGTTCATGGAAAATAAAGTGATTACTTTACTTTCCAGGTGCTTGCATTATACTGAATTCCAGTATGACATGGTCTCTCTCACTCAAGTTTCCTGCAGTTTCAACAAAGCAGAGTATCTATCAATTAGGAAAATGGAAAATATAGAACCCCATGCAATCACCACTTCCAAAATGAAGCCAAATATTGAAACCTAGAAAGGGTTTTCTTAAGCCAGCTTCATTTCCAGCCAATTTACACAGGGCTATCAAGTGGCTTAAGGCTGCAGGGCTTAAAAAAACATGTTCTCGAGCACGTAATCTGACCAAAACATTACTCAGTAGAAATGTAGAATAAATAACATAACTATTCATATAAGGTTTCTCTTCTAACAGTTATTCTTTTGTTTGTTACTGCAACAATTCCATAATTATATAACTGACCAACCATGCAATGGCTTTTTAAAAATCTGAATCCTACATAATAAAGAAGCAATAGCTGCAAATTAAGGTTTGCTGACAAAACTTGGCAAATCTTGAACCAAAATAAAGTGAAAGCAAAGATTTACATTATACATTGAAAAGGTATGAAGAATGATGCTTAGCATTTATAACACTGGGATACTTTTAGCCTATTATTTGTTCAAAATAAAATGTATTAGACAAGAAATCACATTGACTTTGTTTTGTTTTCAGGACAGGGATAAGCAGGTACTAAACCGCATCTCTCGTTTATTTATTCTACCATCATGGTAATGTTGACAAATAACGGAAATTGCAGTTTAGCAACAACGAGAAGACCACATATTGCTCATGTAGATGTAATGTTATTCTACTTTGCTTGACAAGCACACTGCCTAATCTTATTTTTAAAATTATACCTCCCCTTTCCTCAGGGATTGTGGTGGGAACACCAGCTGAAGAACAGGGGTCCATCCATACTGATGGTGGTAGTGGAGGACCTTTTCGGCAAGATGGGACATTTCACCATGTTTCATGTAGGACGCACACTACAATAGTAATGGGGGACTTCAATTACCTGACATCAACTGGAGGATTAATTCTGCATCAAGTGACAGATCAAATAGGTTCCTGACCAATCTAGCTGACAACTTTGTTGACCAAAAGGTAGAGGAGGAAACTAGAGGGACAGCCATACTGGATTTAATTCTCAAGAACAGAGAAGAAATGATAAAGGGAGTTGAAACTGCAAGAAAATTGGGTGAGAGTGACCATGTCATACTGGAATTCAATATAATACAAACACAAGCAATAGAACATAATCATACCAGAGTCTTAGATTTTAAAAGAGCTGATTTTAACGAATTCACAGAGCTTGGGAAAGAGTCCTTGGATGAAAATACTAAATGGGAAACAACTCAAGAAGCTTGGAAAACTCTGAAAACTATGATCATAAAAGCCCAAACCAGCACAATGCCACTGAAAAAAAAATATCAAGAAATCTAACAAGAAACCAGCATGGTTGCACAAAGATCTCTCTGATAGACAAAAAAGACAAGTACAAAAAATGGAAAGAGGGACACATAACTAAAGCAAAATATCAGCAGATAGCCCAAATCTGCAAAGATGAAGTCAGGAAAGCAAAGGCTCAGAATAAACAAAGACTTGCAACAAAAGTCAAAGATAATTAAAATAGTCTCTTTCAACATATAAGTAACAAGAAAAAAGTCAAGGAAACAGTCGGTCCACTAAAGAGAGAAGATAGCAAGAAGGTAACAGGCAGCAGAGAGAAAGCAGAGCTTGCTTAGCTCATTCTTTGCATCGGTCTTCACACACACAAAAAATATAGCCCAATCTACCAAAAACATAACTGTAAAAGACAGATTAGAAATTATAATTAAAATAAGCAAGAAAATGGTAAGAGAACGCCTGTCTGACCTTGATGAATATAAATCACCAGGACCTGATGGATTACATCTCAGAGTTTTAAAGGAGTTGCCAGATGTCATCTCAGAACCATTGTACCATATCTTTCAAAAATCTTGGCGCCCTGGGGAACTACCTGAGCATTGGAAAACAGCTGATGTGGTTCCCATCTTCAAAAAAAGGGGGGGGGGAACCAGACCCAGGAATCTACAGACCAATCAGCCTAACATCAATACCTGGGAAGATACTGGAAAAAATAATCAAAAAACAAATCTGTGAACATCTTGAAACAAATAAAGTTATAACTAGAAGTCAGCACAGGTTTGTTAAAAATAGATCATGCCAAACCAATCTTATTTCGCTTTTTGACAAAGTGACTAATTTAGACCAGTGAAATGCTGTAGACATAGCATTTCAACTTCAGCAAGGCATTTGACAAAGTAGACCACAACTTACTTCTTGGTAAACTAGAAAAAAATGGGATAGATAGCATCATCATCAGACGGATTTGTAACTGGCTGACAAACCATACTCAACAAGTAGTCCTTAATGGTACTACATCTACATGGAGGAAAGTAAGCAGTGGGGTACCACAAGGTTCTGTCTTGGGCCCAGTACTCTTCAATATCTTCATAAATGACTTAGAGGGAATAGAACGGGAACTTATCAAATTTGCAGATGACACTAAGCTGGCGACACCCCAGAAGACAAGCTCAGGATCCAAAAAGATCTTGACAGACGTGAACACTGGACCCTATCTAACAAAATGAAATTCAATGTAGAGAAAAGTAAAGTCTTACTTTTAAGCAAGAAAAACCAAAAGTGCACATACATATTAGATGAAACCTGGCTTAATAGAAGTAACTCTGAGAAGGATCTTGGAGTCCTAATGGACAATCAATTAAATATGAGCCAACAGTGTGTGGCAGTGGCCAAAAAAGCCAATGCAATCCAAAGTTGCATTAATAGAGAGAATGAATCAAGATCATGTGAGGTACTAATACCGCTCTATAAAGCCTTAGTAAGACCACACCTAAAATACTACATCCAGTTTTGGTCACCACACTATAAAAAGATTTTGAAATTCTAGAAAGAGTGCAGAGAAGAGCAACAAAGATGATTAGAGGACTGGAGACTAAAACATATGAAGAACGGTTGCAAGAACTGGGCACGGCTAGTCTAGTGAAGAGTAAGACCAGGGGTGACATGATAGCAGTGTTCCAATATTTGAGGGGCTGTCACAGAGAGGAGAAGACAATCTATTTTTCAAAGCACCTGATGGCCAGACAAAGAACAACGTATGGAAACTGATCAAGGAAAGATTCAACTAGAAATAAGGAGAAATTTTCTGATAGTAGTGAGAACAATCAACCAATGGAACAGCTTTCCTTCAGAAGTTGTGGGTGCTTCATCACTGGAGGCATTCAAAAAGACAACCACTTGTCAGAAATGGTATAGGATCTCCTGCTTGGGCAGGGAGTTGGATTAGATGACCTACAATGTCCCTTCCAATTCTGTAATTCTGTATCTGGATGCTTTTCATTACACATAAATGGTTTATATAGTGATTTCAGATCATGGAAGTCAATTTAGTTACATGTTTTGGAAGGCATTATTCCAGCTTTTGAAGATACAAATCAATTTTTCATCAGCCTACCACCCTGTTACAAACAGGGAGGCTAAGAAGACTGACCAAATGTTGAAAGACTATTTAAGGTATTACTGTACATACAGCCAGGAAACTAGCTGTCACTGACACCATTAGCTGAATTTGCATATAATTCTATCCATGCATTAATTGAAATAGCCCTGTTCCAGGCTTTATACCGAGGCACCCAAGGGTTTTACCTGCATCCTCACAACAGGCTCTCGTCCCTGGGACCATAATTTTTCTACAGGAACAATGCGCTCTCCAAGCACTGTTGAAAGAATAGCTAGATCGACTTCCGATGGCTCGGCGGCTGCCGAAGGAGGCTTTCTGACAGCCTCCCGTCCGGGACTGCGTAAAAATCGCCAAAACAGCGCATATCAGCTGTTTGGCGGTCTGAACCTTCTCTCCGGGCAAAGGAGAGAAGGAGAGCTTACTCTGAAGTAGGAGTTGAGTTCCCTAGTCTCCCTGGGGGCTCCCAGCGAGGCGAAGGTGAGAACTCCTCCGGAGCTCAGAGTTCCTCTGCAGATCGGGATGTCTTCGCTATTTAGAGAAGCCAGACACCGTCTCCACCTCTGATGTTTTTTCTGAATTTAATTGTGAGTACTTTTAACAGACGGAGCTGTCTAGGAAACTTGGACTTTTTATAAAGAAATTATAACTTTGACTCAGAAGAATAAAGTACTCTTCTCAAATGACTGAAATCGAAAGTTAACTTTCAGGAAAAAAAAATGGCTGCGGCTTAGCCGCTTCTTTGTTCTAAAGAGACTTTCATTTTCCTTCCGGTTGTGGATTGCTACATTGTAAAGACTGTAAAGATTTTTCAAAAATTAAAGAAAAATTGAAGAAAAATCTGCTTGACTTCTTGCTGCGTTGGACTGTATATTAAGACTTTTTTCAAATTTAAGAATCGCTTCTAAACGAGTTGTAGCCTCTGCAGCACCTAAGCCAGCTGTTTCTTCTCCAGCTGTACAGACTACACATCAGAGAGCTAAAACTCCTCCACCCTCTCCTCCACCTTATATTACTTTAAAGGATTTGCAGGACTCTTTGATGCAGATGTCTAAACA